ATAAGTGAATATTGTTTGTCTCAAATTTAAAAAGTAATATTTAAGCAATTGTATATAAAACTCCTTTCAAAATGTTTGCTTATGAAAAAACCCCACAAAAATAATGCCTACAAGGACATGTTGAATTTTATGGGAATCCTACTGCATCAAAAATATAGAAGGATGCACCCCAAATCTCATATTGCAATAATTCCACAAGATACACTGCAATGATAAAAATAATTATAAAGCTAGTTTGATGCCAGTGAAAGAGACTGAAATTATTTTGAATGGGGTAATGTACCTGCCGTAGAATTAACAGTTTTATTTAGATTATCAACAAGAATCGGAAGAAATTATATATTTGGTGGGTTCTACCCTTTATGAAAACAACGGTCACCCTGAGCACCCGTGGACAGAACCCCTGCGCCAGGAGTCCTCTGTCACACAGCCCTGCACTCGACTCTCGCGCTCAGAGCTTACCTTCCTGACTCAAACGTGAACCACGTTGAGTCCCGCCCGTATCTCCTCAGGGAGCTGAGAGGCCACATCACCAGTCTGACCTTGGCATTGTGGACATCCCACAGATAGATATTCTCATGAGTGATCTGCATTGTGCATTCACCATAAATGTCCAGATTTGGCGTAGGCATAAGATACACATTGAATCGCTCTGCAAAGAAACAAAGAATGGAGAAATGGAGTGAGAAAAGGTGTGCCTCTTTATGGCAGAAAGTGCTACCGTGTCCTTTGGTGACATTGACAGACACTGCGAAACGCTATCTTTTCCCACTGTATGGGTAAAGGAGTTAATTATTCTTAATCACTAATTCATTCACTCCTTCTTCAACATTGCGTTGCATACATTCTCTGTGGTGGGGGTTAATGGTTGAAGTGTACAATGGACACACAAGGGCAGAAAGCTAATTGGAGTCTCTGCTCAAATGGCGTTATATCTGCCTCTTCACACAATAGTAAGTGGATATCGTACAAACGATTCCTGCGAGGAAGGTCTTATTTAATTTACACAAGAACTTACTCAGTTCTATCTGTGGAGCATGAAGTGTTTTTTTTTTTAACATTTTTTATTGATTTATAATCATTTTACAATGTTGTGTCAAATTCCAGAGCATGAAGTGTTTAGTGCACACTCAGACTGACTTTCCAAGCACAGAGTATTCATGGTCAAATTCAGCATGTGATAATTGAAGATACTCATTACTACCTTCTGTAGAACTCCAGACATAGTTTTGGTAAGCAAAATAAAAATACATAACTGTTTCCATTCCTGGATATTTTATAGCTGAAAATCTGATTATTAGGCAATGATTCCAAACTTTGCTTTATAACTTTTTGTGTATCTCAACAGCTACCACAAAATCCTGTAGCCCTTGATCCTCATTTAAATGCATTAGAGGAACTTTATTTTGAAAAATAAGGTTAGTTGGTAAATTCCAGGAAGTAAAGAACTTGATACGACCTATAAAATATTACTAGTTCCCAGCACCATATTCTTGGGTTATAGAAAATGATCAATAAATGTTAGTTAACTATATGAGTGAAATAATATATCTCGTGATGAATATGGGCTGCAAGAATTGAGGAATTATTAAAAAAAAAGAGTGATGATGATAAAAGTTTAAGAATTACTGACAGATACATCTTCGTGAATTTGCATTTAATTGTGAATAGTTCTTTGGAGGCAGTGCTGTTGAATAATTACTTTGAGAGGCAAGATGATGCGGCTGCAGCTGGTAAAGGACTGGGATGTTTAGGAATGTGCTACCATCCATCACGATGCCACAATCTTAAACACTGTATCTTTGCTGGTACTCAGCTGGAATTGTCTGTGTAGCAGAAAGACTCTTCTGTGGCAGGTATTTTGTAAAGCAAGGATTTGCTAATGCCAAAAAAGCAACATTCAGATTCCAAGTGGGTTAAATGTAACTTAAGCATGACAGCCTGAAATTAGTAACCACATGGACATGTTTATTCAAGTGTCTGGATATTCTGGGACCCAAAACAATCTAATAATTCAATATTTTACTTAGATTGTTGACCCATGAATGTAATATGTGTATAGATTTCATATTTAGTTTCTAAAGAAAAGACAAAATGAGATCAATTCTATAGCTAAAAATGAAGAAAGAACATTGTCTCATTAACTATCTTCAATAAAAGCCTGTGCCTATATCCGCATACACACACACATATTCCGTAAGTCTTAAAAACTCCTGTGTGCAAGTCAAGTTAAAGACATCACTCATATTCCCAGCACAATGCCCTCTCCAGTGGGATTAGAAGTAAGTCGAAAGGCCATGATCTCACATGCGAGTACACATGAAACCTGGACCCAACAGAGTGACTCAGGAATATAGTTGATCAGCAATCTTCTTTTCTCTGGTCAAGATCATTTTGAAGAAGTTCAGCTTCTACATTTGTAACTAATCACATGTCAGGGGCATCTGTTGTGCACAGGGAAAATATGTCATCATAAAAGCGAGAAGCGAAACAGTCCTCTATAAATTCTTTCCTTTCCATCAATTCTGGAGTCTGAAGATAGCAACGAAAGACTGCCAAATGCCAAGAAATAACAACACTTCTTTTAAAATAAACACCATTAAGTAATCTTCCTGTTGCTTAAGGCTGTACTGACCTCGATATTCACCCTTTGTCTGTAACTGGAAAAACAGAGCATAAAAAAAAAAAAATAAATAACCCTGACACTGAGTGTCCTTCAAATGGATGGTACATTAAACTCTGCAAATAATCTACAGAGGACCCAGAAGAACTATAACGTTTTCACTGAAACGTCTGCATGCTCTAATGTTAGCAGATTAAACCGAACGGCAATAAACACAGAAAGAGTACAATCACAACGGACACTGGAGAAAGCTGGAAAACAATGAGTAAGTGAATTTATTATGTCATGTGACACAGGGATTGAGACACCAAAGTCTTTGGGCACATTTACAAACAAATGCAAAGTGATGGGATAACTTGCCCCTAAGGAGTCCTCCCGGGGCCAGATCTGGGCGACACAAAGCAGGTGGAAGGTACCTGTGGTGTCCCTTCCCTGTTGTCTGCCCTCTACTTTCCAAGACACTTTTTTTTTTTTCAACCTGGCAACTCAAGTCACCCCTTCTTGTCATGTCATGGTTCAGAATGCACCCATCTTCTTGCTGATGCTATTTCTTTCATCTTAAGAAAGGAATTACTCTAAAAAATTCATTTTCAATTTTTAAATATTCAAAATTCACCTGCCCCCACTAATGGCTCATTTCCAAGGATTCAAAATACAATTAAAAAGTAGACTAATTTAATCCAGCAGAAAATGAGGCACAAAAAGATGTGGGCAGCACATCAAGTTATCTAGTAAATTGCACTTCTTTGAAATCCATTATGATGCAAGGAAGGTTTCGGCACTTACCATGAATAAATTATTTTATGCCCTTAGTAATGTAAAACATATTGTTTCACTGAAATCTGCTACAGTTTCCATTGGAAAGATCATTTCAATATGAAGTAATTAAAACTGGCTCCAGTAAAATGACATTTTAAAATACTGTGAAATAATTCTATCAGGCAGGTATTTTAAACCAATTTCTAATCATGTCACTTTTTAATTTAAAAACTGCATTTGGGTTTTAGTGCCTGGACTACTGGTCTTCAGGCCTTAGTGTCCATCACAACCACCAGCAGGGCTTGGTTAAACACAGATGGCTGGGTTTCCTCCACTCTCACTGTTTCCGACACAGAAGGTCTAGGCTGGGGC